CTGGCTAATCTGAATTCCATTGTTGTCTTAAGATGGTAATTGGCGAGTGCGGAGTAGAGTACAGGGATGTCTAAAAAGAGAACCTCCATTACTCGCCCTTGCCTCCCTATAAGTAACAATATACTAATGGATATGCAGATACAAGAGAAATACAGTAAGAAAAATGTATGCCTTATGTAGCAATATTTTTTTATTTTGTGCTCAAAGAAATTAGAAATGGAAAAAATAAACTTAAAAATAAAAGAAAACCACAAATATGTACAATTGTGTGAACCAGCAAAATTTAATTCAGGCTGTGTGTGTGTGGGGAGGGTGTAGCTGTCTAGAATAAAAGCATGATGCAGATTTCAGAATTATACTTGCATAAACCTTAGAGCCCTTATACCTAGAGTAGAAAAGAACCAAGTAATAATTAAAAAGTGTGCAGGGAAACTGTCCCATCAGCGAAGTGGTGCCCCAGCAGGTCTGTACTTCCATCACACTTGCCCATGGACACTCTCTGACAATCTTTGGCTATTTGCATCAATAATTACAAACATAAAGCAGAGTGGGAGTTTATACAGAGAGAGAGAAAGAGTAAACTGAATAATTATAGCCACTATTCCTAAAACAGACTACATAAGATAGTTAAGAAGCATAGAGACAACCTACTAGAACAAGAATAGGAAATCTCAAAGGGTAACAAAAAACAACAAAACCCTCGAAACTGGTTGTGAGACCAGGAGCTGAATATACTGTATTTGAATGTGTGTAAACCAATCGTACAAGGTATAAAAATAATAATTTCAAAGTTCAAAATTAAGCATAAAATTTAATTTATCAGTCCTAAATAGAGGACAACAAAAACACAATAAAGAGTGATTGGAAATCCCAAGTTATTTGACTTAGTTTAACTTGTGGGGACCAGACTTGGAAGTTGCTGAAAAATAAACTGTTGCAGTCTGTGCACTATGGTACAAAGTCAAAAGATACTGAAGCAAAATGAAGAGCGCAACTTACTATGTGTTATATTACCCTTTTGGGAAGATAGAAAAATAGTAGGTGCCTAACAATCCCAACTATTTATTTACTATTAGCTATATATTAGGTAGTGATTTTTTTTTTTTTTTTGCTTTAAATCAGCCTAGATTTAAATATATGTGGAAAGAAAAATACAGAAAAACATACTTCCAGGCTAATCATGGCAGCATCACTTATGGGTAGCTCAACCTCCAGTTGGATCAGGACAGTAAGCAAGTAACCAAATCTAGGCATTCAAGGTCCTTCCATAACTCTTTTTCCTGTCCTCAGTCAGACAACATGATATTTTATTTCTGATTTAATTTTTTTATTTTTGGCCAACTTCCATGTCTACCATAGGTATACCAGAAGTAGTTCAGCCTCCCTTCATCTGAGGAACTCTGTAATCTGCCTGCATGGGCACAACTAATTTTTGGGTTCAGTTTATATACTGTCCCACATGGAAAAGTTAAGAAAATGTATTCCCAACAAGGAAATCCAACCACAAAATATGGTACTGGCAAGTATAAAGCTTGGGTTGGTTTATCTGTAAAATTTCCCCTTTATGCTTCATTATGTAAATATGCAAGAACATGTATTGCAGGGCTTAGTTATCCTTAAAGGACCACTATACGCACCCAAACCACTTCAGCTTAATGAAGTGGTCTGGGTGCCAGACATTAACCCTGTCTGCTGTAAATATAGCAGTTTCAGAGAAACTGCTATGTTTACCTATGGGTTAATCCAGCCTCTAGTGGCTGTCTCATTGACAGCCACTAGAGGCACGTCTGCGCTTCTCACTGTGGAAATCACAGTGAGAAGACACTGGACGTCCATAGGAAAGCATTGAGAAATGCTTTCCTATGAGACTGGCTGAATGCTCGTGCCACGCATGCGCATTCAGCCGATGACGGGAAAGGAGGCGGAGAGTCCCCACCGCCGAGGGAGCCCGGCGGTGGAGAAAAGGTACGTGTTTAACCCCTTCCTCACCCTAGAGCCCGGCGGGAGGGGGACCTAGAGACCCTATAGTGCAAGGAAAACAAGTATGTTTTCCTCGCACTATAGTTATCCTTTAACAATCCACTTTTGTATGGTACACCAGTTATTACATCCATGTCAGGCAGTATATTTTGGAGAAACATCTTTTTTTTTTGCTTATTTTCTAAGGCTGCTGAGTAGTTTGTTGTACAATGTTCTTAGCTGCTTCTCTATTCTCGTCCTGGACGAAGGGTTTGCAGACTTTGGATCTTGGAATTATGTAATTTTTTTTTTTAACTCTTACTATTTATTTATACAGAGCCACCTACTTTACATCGGCTGCTGGTCTCACAATCAGTTTCACTGGTTCTGTTATTTTTATTATGTAGGTAAGACTGTTCATATAAGGCAGGTGGATAATAGATTAGATGAATTAGACTAAACAGACAGATAGCTATGTGATAGCTGGATAATTTGTAGGCAGAAAGTTAGATACAAACATAGGCAAGTAGATGTCACCGAACTTAACAAATATTATCAAGTTTATTTAACTTTACTATACATAGCATATGTATGGAATATCAAGGGAACACCCACCAAAAACAAAAAAAAACTCAAGATATTTTGCAACCTAGAACTTCCATTCTTAGAGCAATACCACCCTTCCAGTTTTCAGGATGCAGTCTCAGGAAACGTGTAACAATAGCAGGAGTCACTAAGACCCAAAAAGGTGTGTCAGAGTCTTCATTACCATCAAAAACCTAGAAATAAAACAGAATATTTATTTAAAATATGCAATGAGACTTTTATAAATGTATTATTTGACCAGCTGCCCAAACATGTTGCCAAATTTGGAAATGTAGAAAAAGCAATACAGCTATTTTGGTAAACAATGGATATTTATGCACAAGTATATAACAATCCATCAAATGTTGACCTCTCTTGCTCTAATATTGCATTGACAGTTCAGATCTCATCTTTAGATTGTTGTTTTTTTTTACTGGCATAAGTACAATGTAATCCTATTTAATGGCCACTTTGTAGTTGTTCTTAGTAAATTGGTGCCCCATTGGAGAGATAGAGCAGAGGCACAATAGGCATTATCACATAGTATTTTGCTTCGTGCACAGGCCAAGGCTCCAAAGTGTAATGCACTACAGAGTATGAAAGTCGTAGAAACATAGAATGTGACGGCAGATAAGAACCATTCGGCCCATCTTGTCTGCCCAATTTTCTAAATACTTTCATTACTCCCTGGTGTCATCTTATATCCAGGATAGCCTTATACCTACCCCACGCATGCTTAAACTCCTTCACTGTGTTAACCTCTACCACTTCAGCTGCAAGGCTATTCCATGCATCCACAAGTTTTATCCTGCAATCCATGTTTAGTATGAAAAACAAAAGGATTAGGCGCTCACTATAGTAACATGAACAATAAGAACGGGCAGCAGCATCCAATACAAGGACTCCCAACCTTGTAACAAGACAATGTGAACAGAAAAAAAAAGGAGGAAACTGCGCCCTAGACAGTGTGATACAAATATACATACTCAAATCTTATGATGACAGTCTCTTAACAGTTGACCTCAAAAAAAGGAAAGAAAAATACAAAAAATAATAGTGCAATATGGTAGATATAGTGGGTAAGTGAAAGAGTGCTAAATGAGTGTGTATTCATTTAGCACTTTTACACTTACCTACTATATTTACCATATTGCACTATTATTTTTTTTATTTTTCGTTCCTTTTTTTTTGGTCAACTGTTAAGAGATTGTCATCATAAGATTTGAGTACGTATATTATTTGTATCACACTGTCTAGGGCGCGGTTTCCTCCTTTTTTTCCAATCCATGTTTAGTAGCCCTTCTCTGACAAGCCTAATGCAATTTTCTGTTGCCTTCAGCAGTGCAACTTTTAAAGTTAGCTCCTCAACGACTTGTTTTAGAGACAATCCCAGTAGGGAGTTTAGAATATTTGTGCTCCTACCACAAGCAGCTATTTTGGTTTTCCAGTTCACATCAGGAAGATTAAAGTCACCCATGATGATAACTTATCCCTTCAATGTAATTTTAGCTATTTCCTCAACTAGTAGCTTATCTAACTCTTTTTATATTTGTCCTGGAGGCCTATAAAATCACACCTACACGGGTTACTGTGTGATTACCAAATTCTAATGTAACCCAAATGGACTTGGTTTGTCTCACTAACTTTTATTAGTCTAGATTGTATGCTATCCTTCACATACAGGTCCACCCCTCCCCTTTTCTTGCCTTCCCTTTCTTTTCTATATAAACAATCCCTCAACAACAACTGCTTTCTCTCAGGCCTCAACATAGTCTCCAAGCCTGTCTCCTACCACTACACTCCTGTGCCTGAGTCGGTCTCCACAACACCACCACACTTAGTAATTCAGAACAGGTTATAGCTGGTGCTAAGGAAGAAAGTGCGGTGCTGCTGATTTACCCAAGTATATGATCTTAATATATACTTAAAAGTGTGAAACAGTAAAACCAAAGAAAGTGATAAGTGCACACAAAAAGAATAAATTACCTTATATACAAAATTCCTCTTACATTAAAGTAACATATATAGTAACAGTTTTTAGAGTCCATTAAAGTTGGCTCTAGACTTATAGAGCATATATGTCTCCTTCTAGACACAAGGTGATTTCCTCCACTGGTTAGGATCCCAAAAAGTGCAAAATTGCTGGAATCAGGAACTCCAAGAAGAGGTAGATAAGTTCAAATAATTTATTACATTAGTATATTAGAACAAAATCTAAAAACAAATGCACAACGAATTTCAACCCCAAACTGCGTCTTCCTCACGTGCTGATAAATGTCACACTGATATGAGTGTGTATATATATATATATATATATATATATATATATATATATATATATATATAGTAACGGCACCCTCAGCATTAAATAGACAAACCGCCGTTTAGTGAATCCTCCCCTCTCACCATAACACACGCTTCATTCGTATCAACTGCAATCATACGAATTGCAAGCAGGGGAACGCTCCAATCTCCCGAACGGGACCCGTACAGGTACTTCACTTCCCGAACTCCAAACTCACGAATCGCCGCTAGTAGCCGAACTCATATCTCCCAAGCGGCTAATATTCCCATCCGGCAGTCTCTACTCGTCGGTAATAAATCCCCCCAATAACGAGACCAAGCTCCGCATTGAGGGTCAAACATGAACTGGGTTTACTGTGGGCTACCCACCCGTATTTATGCAGGTCTCCCACTTGGTGGACACTCCCCTAGGGGACCAAATGGGAGACTGTAATGGCAGATGGACATACAGCATTTCAGGACACACAGGCACATAATATTCCCAGCATGCATCATGGTTTCCTCCCCTCTGCCCTGGAGATAATTGAGAAGTAATTCAATTATCTCCCAGGACAGAGGCAAATCGCCATTTTAGATACAACCCAAAAAACACAAAAATACATAACTTTACAATTCTCATTTGTATAACACATCCCCAGATAGCCTGGATCTGAGTGCATATTATTGGCGAATAGCGCTCAGATCCCATACGCATAGTTCAATCGCTATGGAGTCAAAGTCTATTACAGTCTTTAGGTATGCGATTGACTCCATGGGAAGGCTATCTGGGTTAAGTCCATTCATGCGTTTCAAACTCCCGAATGGCCGGTGTTCGTATACTTTTGTCGATTGAGAAGGGAGGTCTGTGGCTTCAGCGGTGTTCGGCGGAAAAAGTGTCAGTTTTCAGTTCCATAGAATCTGGGCCGAACACCGCTGGTCTTTCACCTTTTAAAAATGGCCACTGCCTCATAGTCGACATACGAACGACGACCACCCTGCATTCGGTTTTAATTGAGAGGTGTCTGCGGTTAACCACAACGTTCTAATTGGGATCAAGAAGTTAACCAGCAGCACACTTCTTTTCTGGGTGGCCGTCCGTTCGGTAGTTTTGTTCGGCAGAAGAGTCAATTAAACGAACAGGGGCATACGAACAGATAATTCAACGAAAAGGCAAAACAGACGAACCAGCAATCCCAGTCTATACAGATGCATCTGTCACATATACACACATATATATATATATATATATATATATATATATATATATATATATATATATATACACATACATACACATATACATATACATATACACACACACACACACATTATAGTTAATTTATCATACATGTAAAAAAGAAGAATCTCCCATTACGGAATATTGTCCGAACCGGAAACGCATTGTGCCACTTTGGAAACATACTTCCTGTATGCCCGCCATATTGGTAACCTTTAACCTAAAATACAATAGAAAATACATCTGCAGATAAAACAAACACATGGATTCTATAAAATAAAAATCGCTGCATTGCTTTCAGGTCTTTTCTTGAATTCTGTCGCGTCATTTCCACTTCATCACTACCTGTGATGTATCGCGTCCATACTAAAAATTCCGAAGTCACTTCCTGTGACATTTTTTTCGTAGGCCGAACCCCTTTCACTGTGTTCATACATCCATAGGTTATCTCTAAGCCAGAGAGGCATTCAGCCCTCAGTATCTGAACCCATGGACGCCATTTTGAAGGTGAACATAGTCCCATACATTACATATAAAGGAGAAGGCAGAGAGGATAAAAATAATTAAGACCATAGAAAAAAATGGTTAAAACTATTAAAAGAGCTAGAAATAGATAAAACTATAATAATGGAATACATATAAAAAAAAAAAATTTGTTTAAAAGGTGTAAATGGAAAACTAGATGGAATAAAAGAAAAAGGCAAAGTAAAAATTGGGGGGGAAGGGGACTAGAAGAGAAAAAATATATATATATTCTATAAAATAGGGTTGATTTCAAAGTCAATATTAAGCCTAAAGTACGTAAAAAAATCCATTTGGTCACCTGAATACTTATTTATTTATTTTTTAACAATGTCCCCTCCTTTCCAATGGGTATTTACTTTCTCAATTGCACAAAGTTCTAAGTGCCTTGTATCTGAACTATGTTTTTTCTAAAAAATGCCTCGATACACTGGGATTTGAAAATACTTTTTTGATATTTCTAACATGTTCACTTATTCTCACTAATCGGTCTAGATGTTTTGCCTATGTATTGTAGTACACATGTGCACCACAGAAAATAGATAACATTGCAGGAATGACACGTAATAAGTGATTTGATTTTGTACTCTTAGTAATGACGGAAATAAAATTAATAAAAATTTTATTTGATATCTTTGTATTCCGACATTGTATGCTCCTGCGACCAATTTGTTAGATTTTTTTAGGGAATATGATCCTTCACATAACTCTTAGTTAGAATTTGTTTTAAATTATTTGCACCTCTAAAAAGTTTGGTTTTTGGCCTATGTATTCTTGTATATTATCCTCTTGTTGCAGGATGTGCCAGTTTGTATTATTCTTTTAACATTCAAAAATGTGGGTCATTTTTATTTCACTACAAGTTGTTATTTTTTTTTTTTAGACAAGAAAGCTCTCTTTCCCAGATAATTAAAAAAAAACAAAAAAACACAATATGTAGAGGGAATATTAAAAGTGGAACATGGTCCAACTCACCCCGCTGCCCTGCTGTCTACTGGCCATGTGGCCAGCCTTCCCTCTCACCTCTGGATGATGTTACTGCCCCTTCTTGCAGGGGACTGCATGCAGTGAGTTTTGATTTTCCATGAGGTTTAACTCTTGCCTTATGGAACATGAAGTCCCAGTGGCTGACATAATAAGTGATATGATATAAACACACATACTCCTCAGGTGGGCTGACAACATGCCTTACAGCCCTATCATTACAGGGGGTGACCCTTACACCCCTACTTTACTGGGGCACTGTCCCTGCTTATACTTCTCTCTAATGGACCATACTGCTGTGCAAGTAGCACTGTTGTGGGTTGGGTGACCCCGTCCCTCTGACAACACTGCTGGACCTTGGGTGTCCTATTATATTCATACTGAGAGTGACCTCCTACTGCCATTCCATACTCTGCCGGCCCCACAGTGTCCTATTATAACCATGCTGAGGGCAACCCCCTCCCTCTTACTGCACTGCTGAACCTGCAGAGTCCTGTTGTAATCATACTGAGGGAGACCCCATCTTGCTGACTGCACTGCTGGATCTGCAGCGTCCTGTTATGTTCATATTGAGGGTGACCTCCTCCCGCTGATTGCACTGCTGTACTTACAGTGTCCTGTTATACTCATACTGAGGGTGACCCCTACCTGCGGACTACACTGCTGGACCTGCAGTGTCCTGTTATGCTCATTATGATGGTGACCCCCTCCCGCTGTCTGCACTGCTGGATTTGCAGTGCCTTGTTATATTCATAATACGTCTGCCCCTACTGCCAACCGCACTGCTGTACCTACCCTGTTATATCAATACTGAGGATGACCCCCTTACTTGCTGGCCTATAATGGATGGTATGCTTATGCTTGTTGGGTGAAACCCTCTTGCACGCTGGGTGACCCTCAGCTGGCCGCAACACTGATGGTGTTACCCCTATGGCAGTGATACAGTCACGGCTGACTGAGCAGATTTCCGCGCCTGGAAAGTCTCCAGGCCTGGCTTCGTGCCACCTTGGTGGACTCATTGCCTGAAGCCCTCGTTGCCCTACATGGTGATTCTCTACCGACCACCCTGAACTTTGCAGCCGGCACCTCAGGTGCTCGAGACTCTGACTTGGCATTTCCCTCTGCTCTGTGGATATGGACTCTGCACGTAATAGGCCTTGGAAGGGCCATGAAGCTCCCACAGATGAAGAGGAAGCTGCCTTACGAGTTGGACAAGATGGCCAGTTTTCACGAATAAGCTCAGAAAAGACCCCGCAGAGACCTGGAACAGGTTTTACGCTCTGCCCAGGACTAACTGCTGGATGTAAGTGCACGTTGACACAGATGTCCCTCAGGGCAGATGCTAACTCTCCTTCGTGAATGGGCCCAATGGTCCGTATGTTTGTTTATAAGAAAACACCTATTTGGCCTTATCCCCTGAACGCTGCAAAGTGGCACCGTCCAAGCTGGACAGCAAGTTGGCAGATTTGGCATCCAAGGAACTGGGTCTGCTCTTTGGGGATGCCCTCACGAACGACTTGAACCAACACATTTCTATTTATGCGTCTCTCGACTAGACACATCAGTCAGGCGTTGTCCAGATTCCGGAACAATTGTGTTCTCAATCTGCATGCCCTCAATGCATATGTCGCCTGTTGACATTTCAAGAAGGAGGACACCCGTCTCCTCAGAGACCTGTTCTGCAAGGGTGATTGGTTCTCTCAACTGGATC